AGGGAAAAAAAAGAAAAAAAAAAAAGCCAAAAAAAAAATAATACGCATGTCAGGTTAAGCCAAACGTGTCAGGTCTCCCGTACAAGTCACGTCACGGACAGACGGTGGGTCTCATGTGGTGTATGTGTTTCTTCATCTGAGTGTGAACTATTCCAGGTATCCTGGAGCAGGGATGGCAAGCCGACTCCACCACGAGAATGGTTCTGCCCAGAAAACCAGGTAGGGGGAGCTCTTCACCCATTCATGCGGCATCTAACTCTTAGAAGATTGCTTCAGATTGTCAGGCCTTGAATTTGGATAAGTGATGGGAAATTCTGCTGTACCAGCAGTGGGAGTAATTCACATTTAAAAAAATATAGAATAGCAGAATTTTAAGGTAGAAGTCATCTTAGTTTGATTTAACTTTTAAAAATCTATTTCTCATGTAAAACACTATTTTATGTAGGTATTTCATGGGTCCTTATTACAACTTAAGTATCACTCTCCCATTCTTTTATTTATGAAGCAATTTTTAACTGCTTATCCTAAATGTCTACATTTTTGCCTCTTTTTAAAAAATAACTCAGCTGTTCAGTTTTCTCATTTTTGCCTCTTTTAAAAAATAATCTTTTAAATAATCTTTGCCTCTTTTAAAAAATAATCAGCTATTCAGTTTTCTCACTGTAGGTGGGTCATACAGACTCATACAAAATTAGCTTCTCCGATTTTTTTCCTTTTTTTTTAAGAACAATTTTTGCTGTAGGGCACATGCTCTCGCCAGAGATTCAAAGCGAGAAATACCCCGAGGAGGGATGGCCACACCTCATATCCTTCTCCGCCATTTTCCTCTTGGATTTTTGGGCATACACACATGCGCCTGGCATGAGTTTCAGGCCCGGGTCCGACTGGCCATGTGGGAGTCCAACAATGTAACCATTACGCCATCTGCTGTCCCACTCTAGCCCTCCTTCTAAAGCTTTAACTTCTGTGCCCGGTTCTTGATCTCTTGGCCTCCCTCTCTGACTGAGCCATGCTCGTCCTGCCTTATAGTTCTCTTTCCTCTCATTTACCAGGAATATCCTCCTCTGCCAGGTCTTTAAAGCCAGACTTATGCCCACTTTACAAACCTCTGCCACTGCAGTAACCCACATGGCTTCCTGCCCACTCCGATGCCTGCTGTGTAGACCCCACCAAGCACACAGTAAAGTCTGGGGCACATCTTGGTGTTCTCAGCCCTGAGCGGGTGAGGAGTTGGGGGACAGACCCGGCCATTGTCGCTGGGGAAGACAGTGTGCTGCCGACTGTGGAGCATGATTGCTGTCTCTGAGAGCCACCTGGCCACTAATGCCCACTGCACTAACAGTGGCGTGTTCAGTGAGAGGGCTTTACCGTGACTTCTGTAAATCGGACCGAAGTCTCTTGTTTTTATTCAGTTGCAGGAGCCCCGGATGTTTCCTTTAACCGATTTATTCCCTTATCAGGTATGTAAAAACATTTCATTGTTCCTGATTTCTTTGTGATGTTGTGTTTCTCAGCTCTAACTTGTAAACAAAGAGCTTCCATTTTATGGACGAATGATAGTACATCTGGCTTGCAAGAATGAAGTGTGGTTCCCCAGAGCTCGCTTGGGGCAGGTCCCTCTGGCCAGCCACGGAGCCACCGTACTGTGAGCCCGGGTTGCTGTGCCAACCTTTTCACTCAGGGCATCTGCAGGCAGCCTGCCGAGGCCGAGATGTGGGAATGTTGCTCCTGGAAGGCCGGGTCCTTTGTGTCTGCTCAGTGGCAGGTTACTTCTGTAGCTGTGCTGGCACACGGAAGCAGTCGGTACTTACCCTCTGAGGTCATCGTTTCATGGGGAGGGAGCTTCTCAGTGGGAGATGTTGCACGTTGAAAGTGTTTCCACCTCCAAGAAGAATACTTCGGAGACAGTGCAGGTGTGCCTTTTCTCTCAGGGAAAATCATACTCCTCCAAGTGGAGATGTCTTGCCTTGGTTTTCAGAAATGCCCAGGCTCCCAAGAGACCTGATTTCATTTGTAATTGGGACCGTCTAAGAAAGTTTCTTTATTGTTCAAATCAAAGGCATTGTGGGAGAAAAAAAAAAAAAAAGGCATTGTGGGAGGAGCAGCAGGGCCCCAGCTGTGTGACGCTGGCATCTAACCTGAAGCGTGTCTTTCTCTTTAACATACAGAGCCTGCCCCAGTTCCACCAATCCCCAATGAGCAGCAGTTAGCCAGGCTGACCGATTATGTGGCTTTTCTTGAAAACTGATCCATCATCTGAGTTCAAGATCCACCTTCAGAATCCTGTATACTGACAGATACAGAAATGAGAAGTTTTTCTTTTCAATTCGTTGGATGGATTAAGCATCTCAGCATTCCTTACTGAGTATGTGATAAAATGCATAGATAATATAAAGCATATTGTATATATTTTGACCTTGAACAGTACACTGAGTAATCGTCGCAGCAGTTTCCATTTTGTAATATGTAACAATCTGGATGGCACCCGTCAGTATTATGTGCTGAGTTTGTGTTTTCTGGCGACTCATGAAATAAGCTCTCCTCCTTTCTGTCGGGAGCAGCGGTCAGCTCTCCCCCCTGCCCCACACATCCCACACTCCTGCTCTACCAAGTGTGGGTAGTGGTAGGGACTCACCTGGAGTGTGAGGACCGTCACCAGGAGCAGCACGAGAATCGCTGGGGATTGTAATTCACCCCCTTGGGAGAACGTGCTCCGTGTACGCCCACCTCCTGCACACCGTCAGTAGCATACAGGAACACGGCTGATGCAGGTAGTCCGTAGTCCATGTCCTTACTACGCCAGTCGGCTAACTAGGTTTTCCCTGATGGCGTTCAGTGTACCCGTTGCCGGCCGTGGAGGGCTTGCCACAACAAAGCCAGCTTACGTAAGACGTTCGCGAGAAGTACTGAGTTGTGATGGCTCCTTTCAGGAGAAGGGAAGAGTGAAATGTGGAAGCGTGTCACGGGCAGAGGCCGTGAGAGCAGCGACCCGTCCTGTGACCAACCCTGCAGCCCTGGGTGTTCTGTTGACCCTGGCTCAGGTCCTGCCGTTGGAGAAGTATCCCTGCCGTTGGAGAAGTACTGAGCACGTTCTTCCCTCTTGGTGTGGCAGTCCTCCGAGTGTTTGGTGATGTTCGTTGTACCTTCACGGCAAAGCAGCCTTTAGTTCATTCTGCATTTGTTTAATAAATATTTAATGGAGTATGTCAACTGTTTCTTTTTAGGCAGTTTCTAGACATTTCACTCTGTTGATCTTTCTTTTATCTTAGACAAAATCCAGTTTTATCATTGTCTCTCAAAATAGGAATTTTTTCATTAAATGGAAAGAACCTATATAGTGAATTCATACAGTGATAATTACTTATGTTTTTAGTTATTTAAAATATGTTCCCTTGACCATTTCAGTTTTCTTAACATATATGAAAATAATTTTTTTTTTGTTTTTTTAGAGAGGTTTTTGCTATAGGGGACGTGCACTCACCAGAAAGACAGAGAGAGAGAGACAGACAGAAAGTGAGAAATCACCCCTCAGGGGAGATGGCCATGCTGCAATACCTTCTCCTCCATTCTCCTCGGGATCTTGGGCACACATGCATACACGCCCGGCGTGAGTTTAAGACACTGGGTCCAGGACTTGAACCGTGGTCAACTACATGGGAGTCCAGTGACATAGCCATTATGCCAACTGCTGGTCCCTGGAAATACTTTTTAAATTACAGTTTTACTTAGCCCTGATAGATAAGTCATATTAAAACTCCTTGATTTATAACGGAGAAAAATAGAAATTTATGAAGTCAGAGGATGCGTAGTGGAAGTAAAGATGCCAGTTTTTCACTGGCAGTATTAAGTGTAAGTTGTACCCAGGGGCCTGTGTTTAATAGCAGGTGGAGTCAGCCCAGGTGTTCATCACGAGGAGTTGGGTTGGAGAAGTGGTGGCGAGTGTCGATTCCACTTATGAAGCCATGGGCAGGACAGAGGCCTCTGTGCCAAAGTGGAGCTGCCTCCAGAGCACACCGAGAGCACACCGAGCTGGGCGTCTGCAGTTGTCACGGCGAGTGCCGTGCGCAGTGACTACCGTTGTACACCCTTACGTATGCTTAGAAACCAGAAATATTAAAAGTGGTTCTCTGAAGAGCACAGAGGACAGGGCACAACCACAGAGAGAAAACAGTGATCTGAGGTGACTCAAGCCAGCCTTTTCGTCCCGCATTGTGGGTGGGATATATGCATTAGAATAAAAGCTCCTTGGACTACTGAGTAGTACGGTTAATTGCACAGACGTCTTGGCATCTTTATTATTAAAAGTATAGACGCTAATAACCCTAAATTTGACTTGGGGACTCCGTTCTGTGATTTCATTTTCTTTCTGAACAGCAAATGATTCTTTGTGCAGCTGAAAAGCCTTACTAGAGTAATTGCATTTCAGTAGCCGTGAACACCAGCAATACCGACGGTGGTCTCCGAATTCCATTTTCAGTGAGAAGGATAAGACCTTAATAGCGCTAGGTCTGGGGCAGTAAATGTACGGAGTGATTTCTAGTACGAGACCTAACTTCAAGGAACCTGTCAGAAGACCCAGGGTTCTGTCACGAGTATGTAGAAGCCAACCTGAAGGCACCAAAAACGAGACCTAAGTTCATAATTATCCTGAAATAACCTCATCGTACAAGAATGGCAGGATAAATGCCTGATTCCACCTCCCCCTTGTTTGTCAGTTTCCAGGACTTCCACTTCCCCTTGTTTATCAGTTTCCGGGATAACCAATTGATGCTATAACAATCTTCAAAGCAGTCCAGCTGATGATGGAAAATTTATGGAAAAATGTCCTCTATAAATGAAGATAGAAGTAGAGATTTGGGGGGCCAGCAGTTGTAATGGCTATGTCGCTGGACTCCCATGTAGTCTACTGCAGTTCAAATCCCGGACCCAGTGGCTTAAACTCACGCGGGGCGCTTGTGCATGTGTGCTTAAGATCCCAAGAGGAGAAGGGATTGTGACGTGGCCATCCCCCTGGGGGGTGATTTCTCGCTTTCTGTCTCTCTGACTGTCTGTCTTTCTGGCGAGCACACGCACCCTGTAGCAAAAACCTCTCCAAAAGAAAAGAGAGGAAGTGGAGATTCAGTACTTTGCAGACCATCATGAAATACGGCAGCATGGAAATAAGTGTCAATGGCCGCTGAGGCCACATGATGAGAAAATGTGTAAAACGTCCCGTGCCCACCAGCCGCCTCGTCTCTGGCCGTTTGAGATGGCTGGCTGCACGCAGGCATAGCCTGACAACACCTGCTGTAGAGCCACTGAGCGTCCAGCCTTGTACCTGGGCCTACCCTGGCACTGCTGCCTGACATCCACACAAACCTGCAGAAGGGGAGCTAACACCTGGGCAGCCCTTCAGCAGTTGGGGACGTGGCATGGTGAGTCAACATGGCCTCGTCTCGGGCAGATAGCCCAGGTGCGTTGTACACCTGGGTCCTCAAAAAGGCACTGGGAAGGTCCCTGTGGTGCCAGCTCTGCAGTGCATCCGTGGGTTGCGTTTCCTTCGTTCCTTGTTCCCCTTTCCCTAACTCCCTTTCTGTTCTCTGGGATCAAGAGAAGTGACTGTCTCCTTGCAGTTCTTGTCTCAGGTTCTGCCTTTCAGGAGGTGAGGTGTGGGGAGCACAAGTCAAGGTAAAAGGGAAGTTGGTAGAGTGGGGGGCCGGGCTGAAGACACCTGACCGTGCGTTCCTAACGTGCAGTGGACGCCGAGCCGGATGTGGTGTGTATGACAGGAAGCGCACCATCGAGGATCAGCCGTCGAGTTTTCTTGTCCAGAGACAAAACTGAGTGTGTAAGTGAATCTAATCAAAGCTTTGGATCTGTTAGTCTACATTGGGATGTGAGAATTAGTGGACAAGTGAAACACCAGGAAGCAGGTGCTGGTTCTACAATGTAGGGAATTAGGACAAGTTTCTAAGTTTCCTTCAAAAATGACGAAAATGAGTTAGAGGGCAGTAGACATGGCGATAAGTATCTTCTCTGAAGGACCGAATGAGACCAACTCCCAGGTGGCCAAGAACTAGAAGCCAGCTACGTACAGAGCAGTCTGTCTCAAGGTGTCAGCTTTTGAAGCAGCGGAGGATGGAGGGACGCAAACTGGGGAGAAGAGAACTGCAAAGAGCTTCCTGCCACAGCCCTCGTGGGCACTTAGAGGACTCAGGCTTTTCCTGGCAGGGTGCGCTGCCTGGGAAACCAGCAACCTTTGGAATTGGAGCTGGGGGAATAAAAATTGGGACCTCACATAAACCACAGAGCGTATCCTTCAAGACATTTGGTAAACGTAAGCTGCTTGGGATAGGAGGCCAAAAGTAAAATAAAAAACCTTTGAGAAACTTGTCCTGCAGTCCTGCTGTGCAAGACGAAGTGGGTTGGGTAGGTGAGGAGGGCGTCTGAAAGTGTAAAGCAGAGAGCGAGCGTTAGTGAACCGGACCGGGAAATAGGGCATTCTAAAACAAGCAGAGGAGGAAAGCGGGACAGAAAGTGCTGGAGGACTGGGTACAGAGCAGAGTCAATAAAACAAGCAGAGGAGGAAAGCGGGACAGAAGGTGCTGGAAGACGGGGTACAGAGCAGAGTCAGGGAGGGAGGAAACAGCCAAATGCTTAGAAGTGCTGGCTCAGAATTTCCTGAAGCTGGGACCAGCAGTTAGCATAATGGCCATGTCGCTGGACTCCCACGTAGTCGACCGCGGTTCAAGTCCCAGACCCGGTGGCTTAAACTCACGCCGGGCGCGTGTGCGTGCGTGTCCAAGATCCCAAGAGGAGAATGGAGGAGAAGGGATTGCGGCGTGGTCATCCCCCTTGGGGGGTGATTTCTTGTTTTCTATCTCTCCTCTCTCTGTCTTTCTGGCGAGCGCATGCGCCCTATAGCGAAAACCTCTCAAAAAAAAAAAAATTTTATGGAAGCTGAGGAAAGAAATCAAGCTACAGACTGAAGAGGCTCAGAAAACCTCACCCGGACACATCAGAGTACACTGAGACCCAAAATCAAAAGGAATACATTTGAAAGCACAGGAAGAGGGCCGGGTAGACCTGACTTTGAGGCCACAGTAAAACCCGGCAATGGATGACGCGCTCCAGGCTGATAGGAAAAGCCCTAAATGCTGTTCACAAGGCATGCTTTCAGTCTTCTACTGTTCATTCAAAACAATTTGCCAGTGAGCGCAAATACTGACTCAAGGGAAGCTGGTGTGGCTTTGGCAACGCTGGGTGAAGTAGGCAAGCGTTACCAGAAATAGAAAAGAATTTTTGTTGAAAAAGCATTGGCCAACTATTGCCACTGCAGTAAATTACAACAAACCTAATGGCTTGAACACCAAAGTGTATTATCTTGTAATTCTGCAGTTCAGAAATCTAAACTGGTCTTGCTGGGTCAGTGTCAACAGGTCAGCAAGGCTGTGTTCCCTTCT